GACAAAAACACTCAGTTCAGGGGCAACTAGGGATGGCCAATCAATACGAGCATTGCCCCCCAACACTTACATCCCATGGATTCATTTTAGAAAATGCACCCACATCCTTGAGCATAGTTATTTGGATAAGATACCAGACAGCTTCCAGCAGCTGCCTAGTCATAACTCAACACAGATCAGAGAAGAAGAGAGCGGACTTTTAAAAAATAAACATACCTCAAGTCTTGCACCAGCTTATTTATCACTTCCTCACCTCCCTGAACTTTTTCTTAATTTCAAAAATATACTTTATTCATAAAAATTTCTTTTTTATATATGCATAGTCACTAAAGCAGCTCAATTTGGTACAGTAGCGTATGAAGGAAGAAGCAAACATTGGAGTTTGACTCTATCCAAACAAACAAAACCAAAGGCATCTCTTACTTGTACAAAAAATATATTTGCCTAGCCAGCTATTCAGTTGCGTTAAACTGCTTTGAGAAATTGGCCGATCCAGCACAATCCCAGGATAATTAGGGCAGTAGGTACCTGCTAATGTTAATGAAAATGAATGAGAATAGGTTGGAAGACATGCTGTCCACATGTAAGGAGTGTACTTTGTTTTTGGTAGCGTAGTTGGGCCATCCACAATTAAAATCATTAAATGCTTCTTTTCTCTTCACTCCTCCTTACACAGGTGATAAACGTATCAGGTATCTCTGTAGGTGCTGGGCTCGCTTCTGCATGTGACACCCTCATATCCCAGGTACGTGATGTGAAACCCCAAAATGGACATCCTTTTGTAACCAACCAGGGATATTATGTTATAACAAGGTGCAGAGCTGGATGAACACAGCAGGCCAAGCAGCATCAGAGGAGTAGGAAAGCTGACGTTTCGGGCCTAGACCCTTCCTGCTGTGTTCATCCAGCTCTACACCTTGTTATCTCAGATTCTCCAGCATCTGCAGTTCCTACTATCTCAGGGATATTATGTTGTTGCATTGGAGCGGGATAATTCTTTGAATTTCAACACTTAATAAAACCGCTGCTCATTTTGAAGGTTTCCATCGAGGCAGCTGAAGGGAAGGCATATAAATCGACATTTTCCCAGCTTCCATCAGTTCTGAGGAAGGGTCACCGGACCTGAAACATTAACTCTGATTTTCTTTCTTCACAGATGCTGGCAGACCTGCTGAGCTTTTCCAGCAACTTTTTTTTTGTAGGGGTGCTGGATTTCTTTTCCTTTATTCATTCATGGGATGAGGGTGTCACTGGCCAGGCAGCATTTATTGTCCATCCCTAATTGCCCAGAGGGCGCTTAAGAATCAATCACATTGCTGCGGGTCTGGAGTCACATGTAGGCCAGACCAGGTAAGGATGGTAGCTTCCTTCCCTAAAGGACATTAGTGAACCAGATGGGGTTTTCCAACAATCAACTACAGGACCCGAAACATTTATCATTAGGTTCACCTCCCACCCTAATTTGAATTTACACAGAGAGTGGTGGGTGCGTGGAATGCGCTGCCGGCAGTGGTAGTGGAGTCTGATACATTAGGGACATTTAAGCGATTCTCAGATAGGCACATGGATGATAGTAAAATGTAGGGTAGTTTGATCTTAGAGTAGAATAATAGGTCAGCACAACATTGTGGGTCAAAGAGCCTACAGTGTGTGATGTTCAAATTCCACTATCTGCTGTGGTAGGATTTGAACTTGGGTCCCCAGAACAATTAGCCAGGTCTCTGGATTAACAGTCCAGTGATAATACCACTAGGCCATTAGGCCATTGCCTCCCCTATTCAGGATGGGTAAGGAAAAGTCAGTCAGGGTTCTGTTTCCTGATTAATATCCAGTGACTCAGGCCACGGCAGAGAATATGAGTTGGACACCTTGGTGTGACACCCCTGGTGACACATAGCTTGCTGATCCTCACTGAGCAATTTTAACCTATCGAGCCCATCAGGATACTATTTGGATTGATAACTGCCTATTTGATTTTATAATCCATTTGGAAAGGAAGCAAGACTGGATGTGGGTTGAAAGCTATGGTTCCACCAGATGCTGCAGCTTTTGAGGTGGAGTTTGTTGCATTACAGAAGGAAAGGCTTGCATTTGTATAGCACCTTTCAAGGCCCGAGGAGGTCTCAAAGATCATTACAATGATCAGTTACATAACAGAGATAGGTTGGGGTCTGGGTCTGGGTGGGATGCTCTTCAGAGGATTGGTACAGATTCAATGGGCTGAATGGTCTCTTTCTGCACTGTAAGGGTTCGATGATTGTATGAACACAGTATCCAATTTTACACACAGCAAACACCGACAAACAGCAATGTGCTATCAACTGGATAATATCTTGGACTGATCTTGGACTGACCAGGGTCAGCACTGGGACCACAACTTTTCACTTTATACATTAATGATCTCGATGAAGGAACTGTGGGCATTCTGGCTAAGTTTGCAGACAATACAAAGATAGGTGGAGGGACAGGTAGTATTGAGGAGGTGGGGAGGCTACAGAAGGATTTGGACAGATTGGGAGAGTGGGCAAAGAAGTGGCAGATGGAGTACAACGTGGGAAAGTGTGAGGTCATGCACTTTGGTAAGAAGAATAAAAACATGGACTATTTTCTAAAATTCAGAAGTCTGAAGTGTAAGAGACTTGGGAGTTCTAGTCCAGGATTCTCTCAAGGTAAACTTGCAGGTTGAGTCAGTAGTCAGGAAGGCAAATGCAATGTTGGCATTTATTTTGAGAGGATTTGAATATAAAATCAGGGATATACTACTGAGGCTTTATTAGGCTATGGTCAGGCCACATTTAGAGTATTGTGCGTGGTTTTGGGCCCCATATCTCAGGAAGGATGTACTGGCCCTGGAGCGGATTCAGAGGAGTTTCACGAGAATGGTCCCAGGAATGGAAAGCTTAACAAATGAGGAATGTTTGAGGACTCTGGGATTATACTCATTAGAGTTTAGAAGGATGAGGGGAGATCTAATTGAAACCTTCAGAATGCTGAATGGCCTGAACAAAATGGTTGTTGTGAAGATGTTTCCATTGGTAGGAGAGACTAGGAGCAAAGGGCACAGCCTTCGAGTAAAAGGAAGACCTTTTAGAACAGAGATAAGGAGAAACTTCTTCAGCCAGAGAGTGGTGAATCTATGGAATTCACTGCCACAGAAGGCTGTGGAGGCCAGGTCATTGAGTACATTTAAGACTGAGATAGATAGGTTCTTGATTATTAAGGGGGTCAAGGATTACGGGGAGAAAGCGGGAGAATGGGGTTGAGGAACTTATCAGCCATGATAGAATGGCGGAGCAGACTCGATTGGCCAAATGGCCTAATTTCTGCTCCTATGTCTTATGGTCTTACGGTCTTATGGGACTGTGAATGCAGTAGGCCAGCTCTCCACTCCAGATTCCTTTGAATTCAAATTTCACCAAGGTGGGATTCAACCTCACATTCCTAAAACATTAGCCTGGGGTTCTAGACTAGTCCAGCTACATTACAACATTTGTTGCCCGTTCCTGGTTGCCCTTGAGAATGTGGTGGTGAGCTGCCTTCTTGAACCACTGCAGTCCATGTGCAGCAGATTGACCCACAATGCCCTTAGAAAGGGAATTCCAGGTTTTTGACCCAGTGACAGTGAAGGAACAGTGATATATTTCCAAGTCAGGATGGTGAGTGGCTTGGAGGGGAATTTACAAATGTTCATGTTCCCATATATCTGCTGCCCTTGTCCTTCTAGATGGAAATGGTCATGGGTTTGGAAGGTGCTGTCTGAGGATCTTTGGTGAATTTCTGCAGTGCATCTTGTAGATGGTACACACTGCTGCTACTGAGCATCGGTGGTGGAGGAAGGGAATGCTTGTGGATGTGGTGTCAATCAAGTAGGCTGCATTGTCTTGGATGGTGTCAAGCTTTTTGAGTGTTGTTGGGACTGCACTCATCCAGGCAAGTGGGGAGTATTCCAACACACTCCTGACTTGTACCTTGTCAGTGGTGGACAGTCTTTGGAGTATCAGGAGGTGAGTTACTCACCTCAGTATTCCTAGCCTCTGATCTGCTCTTGTAGCTATTATGTTTATATGGCAGGTCCAGTTGATTTTCTGGTCAATGATGACCCCAAGGATTTTGACAGTGATGATAACACCATTGAACATCAAGGGGCAGTGGTTAGATTGTCTCTTATTGGAGATGATCATTTCTTGACATTTGTATGGCATAAATTTTACTTGCCACTTGTCAGCCCAAGCCAGAATATTGTCCTGACCTTGTTGCATTTGAACACGGACTACTTTTGTATCTGAGGAGTTGCAAATGGTGCTGAAAATTGTGCAATCATCAGCGAACATCCCCATTTCTGACCTCATGATGGAGGGAATGTCATTGATGAAGCAGTGAAGATGGTTGGGCCTAGGACACTACCCTGAGGAACTCCTGCAGAGATTTCCTGGAGCTGTGATGATTGACCTTCAACAACCATGACCATCTTAAAAATGCACCAGGTATGACTCCACCCACTGGAGAGTTTGCCTCCTGATGCCCATTGACTCCGGTTTTGCTCGGGCCCCTTGATGCCAAGGGCTGTCACTCTCACCTCACCTCTGGAATTCAGCTCTTTTATGCAATGTAATGAGCTCGGGAGCTGAGTGGCCCTGGCAGAACCCAAATTGAGCATCACTGAGCAGGTGTTGCTTGATAGCAGTGTTGATGACACCTTCTATCACTTTGATCAAGAGTAGACCGAAGGGGTGGTAATTGGCCATGTTGGATTTGACCTGCTTTTTGTGTACAGGATGTACTTGGGCAATTTTCCACATTGCTGGGTAGATACCAGTCTTGTGACTGTATTGGAAGAGCTGGGCCAGGAGAGCAGCAAGTTGTGGAGCACAAGTCTTCAGTACTATTGCCAGAATGTTGTCAGGGTCCATAACCTTTGAAGTATCCAGTACCTGGAATACAATTCTGCTGCTGTTGATGGCCCACAGTGCTTCATAGGTGCCCAGCCTTCAGTTGCTAGAACTGTGCAAAGTCTGTCCCAATTAGCACTGTGATAGTACCACACAACACAATGGAGGGTATTTTCAATGTGAAGGCGGGATTTTGTCTCCACAAACACTGTGCGATGATCACTCTTACCAATACTGTCATGGAAGATGCATCCGCATCTGGCAGATTGATGAGGATGAGGTCAAGTATGTTTTTCCCTCTTGTTGGTTCCCTCACCACCTGCCGCAGACCCAGTCTAGCAGCTATGTCCTCTAGGACCTGAGCAGCTCGATCAGTAGTACCTCTGCCGAGCCACTCTTGGTGGTGGACATTGGAATCCCCCACCTAGAGTACATTTTGTGCCCTTGCCATCCTCAGTGCTTCCTCCAAGTGTTGTTCAACATGGAGGAATACTGATCCATCAGCCGACAGACGATGGTATGTGGTAATCAACAGGTTTCCTTGCCCATGTTGAGCGTGAAGTCATAAGATGTCATGTGGTCCAGAGTCAATAAGTCAATGTTGAGGATCTCCAGGGCAGCTCCCTCCTAACCGTATACCACTACGCTGCCACCTCTGCTGGGTCTGTCCTGGTGGTGGGACAGGACATATCAGGGATGGTGATGGTGGTGTCCCAAACACCCTTATATATCTGTATGGTACGATTCCATGCCTATGCCAGGCTGTTCCTTGACAAGTGTGTGAGACAGCTCTCCCAATTTCGGCACTAGTCCCCAGATGTTAGTGAGGAGGACTCTGCAGGGTCGACAGGGCTATCTCTGCCATTGTCTTTTCCAGAGCCTAGGTTAATGCCAGGCGGTCTGTCCAGCTTAATTTCTTCGTTGAGACTTTGTAGTGATTACAGTCAAGATTCAACCCCATTGCTGTCCTTCTGGAGTCATGTGTAGCGTGGCCTCTTTCAGCGATGTAACAATTCAGAGATTTTACAAATTAGACCATGGCATGCTCTCATACTTTATATAACGCAGTGTGGAGCTGGAGGAACACAGCAGGCCAGGCAGCATCAAAGGAGCAGGAAAGCTGACGTTTCGGGTGGGGACCCTTCTTCAAAAAAAACAGAATTACCGTGAAACCATTGCCAATTGCTTGAAGAAGGGTCCCGACCCGAAACATCAGCTTTCCTGCTCCTCTGATGCTTCCTGGCCTGCTGTGTTCCTCCAGCTCCACACTGTGTTATCTCAGACTCCAGCATCAGCAGTTCCTACCGTCTTTGATGCTCTCAAACTGACGTTGAATCACTTGAGGCAAAGGTTTAGAAACAGATCCCATTGTCACCAGGTCAGAAAGTCTTGAAGAGGTGACTGAATTATTTGAGGGTACTGTAATCCTCGTAATCTACCAGCTTCACAGAATTAGTGACAAATTTGTTTATTGAAGTGAAAGTTATTTCAACAGGAGAAAGCTAGAGGGTTAATGTTTCCAGTCTGGGATTACTCTTTTTCAGAACAGTTCTGAAGAAGTCATATATCAGTCTCATCAGTTCTCCTTCCACAGATACGACCAAATTTGCTGAGTTTCTCACCATTCCCTGTACTTGTTTCAGATTTCCAGAATTTGGCAGTATATTGTCTTTACTTAAAGAGGTTCTGGATAATATATCATTGGCAGGCAGTGATTTGTGAGAACCAATAATTTCTCCGGGCTCTATGCTGTAAGTGGAAATTATAAATTAGAAGAAGTTTGTCTGGAGGCATGAGCTGTGCTTTTAAAAAATACTCCTTTTCATTTTCAGACGTATGGCAGTAAGAACCTGAAGCGAATCGGAGTGATTCTCCAACGAGGGATCCTCATTCTCCTGATCGCCTGCTTTCCCTGCTGGGCTCTCTTCATAAACACTGAACACATCCTGTTGGCTTTGAAACAGTCTCCTGCAGTGGCCAGGTAAGGATCAATTCCAAAAGATCCAAACTTGGACATTAGCACTGTGGAAACATGTACACCGATGGTGCGAATAACAGCAGAAAGGTGCTGGGTCATGGGGTGGTTGGACACAAGCTGTTTGCACACATTTGCTCTACAGTTAAAGAGCTCCAGCACAGGCCAGAGTCTAGACAAAGGTTATGTGGCTAGCCAGTTAGTGAGTGGGGAGATAACACTGTAGGTCAACACCCTACTCTTTAGACACCACTGACAACACTCAAGACAGCCCATCAGCAGAGATCAGATACGCAAATCACTAAAAACACTGAGACAAACTAACAGGGATGTTGAACAGAAAATGATCCCGGGACTGGTGTAAATATCTAGAGACCAGGGTAGCATCCTAACCGGTTGTATCACAGCGTGGTATGGTAACTGCTCTGCCCAAGATGGCAAGAAATTACAGAGAGTTGTGAACGCAGCCCGGTCCATCACGAACACCAGCCTCTCATCCATTGACTCAGTCTATACTTCCTGCTGCCTCGGGAAAGCAGCCAACATAATCAAATACCTCTCCCACCCTGGTTGTACTGTTCTCTCTGCCACCCTCCTCCATTGGGCAGAAGGTACAAAAGTTTGATAACACGTACTGATAGGTTCAAGAACAGCTTCTTCCCCGTTGTTATGAATGGACCTCTCATATCTTAAAGTTGATCTCTTTCTACACCTTCTCTGTCACTGTAACTCTATATTCTGCATCCTATTCTATTACTCTGATGTACTTATATAAGGTATGATTTGTCTGGATAGCGTGCAATACTTTTCACTGTAAATCAGTGCATGTGACAAAAATAAATCAAATCAAACCAAATCATTGAAAAGCAAAGATGTTTGCATTAAGAAACATGAACTTTATTTAAACCATACTTACTGCAATGCGAACAGTGCTGGTCTTCTCTAATAAACAAGGATACTGAGACGTTAGGAATGATAAAACAAAAGATGATACCAGAACTGAGATGTGAACTGCAGAGGCAGCGGTAAAATGTAGCTAGACTAGTCTAGAACCCCAGGCTAATGTTTTAGGAACGTGAGGTTGAATCCCACCTTGGTGAAATTTGAATTCAACGGAATCTGGAGTGGGGAGCTGGCCCACTGTATTCACAGTCAATTGTAGACACCCACTGGTTCACACAGGTTCAAATCCCACGATAGCAGATGGTGGTGAATTTTGAATTCAATAAAAATTTGGTATTAAAATCTAGTCTAACAGTGACCCTTGTCAATAGTTGTAAAAACACATCTGGTTCATTTATATATAGCCTTTAGGGAAGTAAATCTGATGCCCTTATCTACATGTGACTCCAGACTTGCAGGTAATGTTGTCAACTCTTAACTGTCCTCTGAAATGACCCTAGCGAGGTACTCAGTTCAAGGGGCAATTAGGGATTGGGTAATGAATACCAGTCCAACCAGCAATGCCCATATCCCAGGAACAAATGAATGAAAGGTTACGCCGATTGGGAAAGGTGAACAGGCATGGAATTCTTGAATCCAGAAGACTGATTCCTGAATTGAAAGCACAGACTGCTGGAAATACCGAGCAGCTCCTACCGAAAGAGAAGTTGCCCTGAGAGATCTTTAAGGTAGTCGAAGGTCTGATTTCATGGCGAGTGTGGCTGGAATTTTACATATTGGCCTCAGGCAGCAGACTGAAAGGTTAAGGGGATGTGAAATTGGGTCAAATGGGAGGGGGTGCTGTGCCTCTGCAGTTATTTTACTACTAGTGGGGTACATATTGGGCACCCTGCTCACACTTCAGGCATTTAAAAGGCCATTTAAGGTCCTCACCCAACCATTGTAGGTTTTTTAACTGCAGATACAGAGGGGACTCCCTCCTCATTAGCGCCCCGTTCCCCATGAATGTGGCCAGGGCTGTCCTCACTGGAAGATCACCACCTAATTTTGATGTCAACCCTACCTCTTCACCAGCCTTGGCAAGCCCAGCCCTACGGTCCCACACTGCAGGTCTCCTCAAGTGTTGTCTGCTTCTTGGATTGCTGCAGTTCCAGCAATGGCCACTGCTCCTAGTGGCAGTGTGCAGGTGCTGAGGAGCTGCCAACCATCTAATTGGCCAGCTGCTGTTGGAAGTGGGCCACCTTCCCACGAGGGGCGGATATTGTAGGCCAATCAACTGCCGGAGGGGAATCGAATCATGGCTCCCAGAGCAGACTGGTCCTTACCTGGAGATGGCAAGAAGTGCAGATGCTGGAGTTGGAGTCAATACAGTGTGGAGCTGGAGGAACACAGCAGCTCAGGCAGCATCAGAAGGGCTGGAGGGTTGATGTTTCGGGCCTAGACCTTGGACTGGTGAAAGGTCTGGGCCTGAAACATTGACTCCCCTGCTCCTCTGATGATCCTTACCTGGTTTGGTCTATATGTGACTCCAGACCAAAGCAATGTGGTGACTCTTAACTGCCTTCAGTGATGGCTGGGTAATAAATGCTGGCCTAGCCAGTGACGCCCACACCCCATGAATGAGCAAGAAAGAAAGAGTTTCTGGTAGATGCAAATAAATTGGATGTAAAGGGAGGAGGGCTTCCTTTGCTACAGGGGAACATGGTAGCAAGATCTCCTTATTACTTTCCACAACTGCAGTCAGTAATAGACATGCTTCAACAGGCTTGATGTGAACCTCTTCAGGGTGAAGTGCAGGTCAGTCCTTTCCTTTTGATGGGGTGATATTCTCCAACTAGACAACACCCCACCCCCATCCATCAGGGTTACGACCCCAATGTACTCCATTGCACGACTGAGTCTGACTGACAGGCACTCCTGTGATTTGAACCCAGTGATCCTGTCAGGCATTGCATACCAATTCCTAAAGTGTGCTGAGCCAGATGTCTGCTTTGGCCATTCTTTACCCCTTATTTAGAACAAAATGTGAGGAATTAACCATATCTGATTACTAGCAAATGAGAATTTTAAACCATTCTGTGAAGAAATTGTACCTTGCACCATGTATCTTGAATTGTATCATAAACATATTAATAAGGTCATGTATTCGACAGGAGTTTCCATTGGGATGGGTTGTTCACAATTAAGGGTAAATCTCTCAGCCTTCTGTTCTGTCAATACTTACTCTGTGCCTGCCTTGAACTGAGAGATACGCTCTCAGTTAATTTACCAACTTTGATTTCTTTTCCTTGCAGGTTAACCCAGCTGTATGTATGGATATTCATCCCTGGCCTTCCTGTAAGTAAAGCATTTAATATTAACAAAGGAATGCGAGTGTTGCAGATGGAAAGTTAAAAAAAATTAAATAACAGTTGCTGTGAGCAACACACGTGTCAATACACTGCTCGGTGTGACATTGTGTGTGTGAGTCTGCATGTGTTCCCAGCTCTGATACTCAGTCTGAACTGATTGGACTGGTTGGCAGTAGGAATGCTATGGTTGGACATTGCACCCCAAGGACAGTTCCTTGATCCATTTGCCAATATTCTGCTGTGATTCAGTGAGAGCAGTTGTTGGTTCCAGCTCCAAACCACAGACCAAATCCAGCCTGACAACTCCCGGTGCAGTACAGACAGAGTGCTGCTCTGCCTTTTGCAGATGTGACATGAACAGTGTGCTCTGAGCTCTCATACCCGATGTGAAGAACTGAGGAATTCCCTCAGGTGCCCTCCCAATATTTATCACTCACGCAAAACCTAGAAACACAGATTATCTGAGATAACAAGGTGTAGAGCTAGATGAACACAGCAGGCCAAGCAGCATCATAGGAGCAGGAAGGCTGACGTTTCGGGCCTAAGGATCTAGAATATGAGTTCCCTGATTGGAGCTGTTAATCTGGTCCAATCAGGGAGCCCTGGCTGACGGATATAAACAGGAGTGTCAGGGGTGCTGAGATAACAAAGTGTAGAGCTGGATGAACACAGTAGGCCAAGCAGCAGCATAGGAGCAGGAAGGCTGACGTTTCGGGCCTA